GACCAATACTTCGTGGAAATCTTTATCCACACAGAAAAAAAAGTTGTCACATTTTCAGGAATCTGTCACCAATTATTGGTGATACTGGAAACTGACTAGAATGATGGGAAACATAAGGGATATCCATCAGAATATAACTCTTCATTATGGATCCTAAATATTTTTCGCTTGATTGACATATTCGTGTCACCAAGTGCCTAATGGTAGGTGTTTAATCATCGAGTCCCGCACCATTTTTACGCTAATTGAAAGATCGAAATCAGATAATTTCAACTGACTGATGGAATGATCAATTTGTTCATTTGATTGAATCATTTAATTACGTTCAACCAGTCCGACAGAATCGCACGAAGTTCTCCTCGGAATTTTCCCGGTATTGAATTGTCTATAACAATCGTAAATTTAATAATCGCGAAACTCTGAAAATTGGGGATGGATTCCTAAAATTAAGAATGGATCGCTGAAAATCTGTGACATGTCCCTGAAAATCAGAACTTTTTTTTCTGTGAATAATACTTCGAAATCTTTATCAACACAGGGAAAAAATAAGGTTTGATTTTCAGGGATTTGTTCATGTAATTGAAGCAGTTAATTTCGTTCAACCAGTTCGACAGAATCGCTCGTTCTCGGAATTTTTCCGGTGTTGAATTGTCGATAATAATCAATTGGGATTCCAGATGTCGCGCGATTTTTTCGGGGATTATAATTATGCAATGCACGGAAGGAACGGGGAGGGACGACAATAAAAAACGTAATGGGCGGTCACATACGGACGGGATATGACGTGGGTGGTGTGTGAGGACGTGAAGCGGATAATGAAAATTATCAGACACTCGATTCCACGGAATTCCTTCTCATTGCGGAGACAGCCGTGATCATAGAGAGAAGATTAATTTTTTTCATCGTTTCTGGAAAACAATTTAATTAAGTTTGTCGTGCAATGAAGATTTACTGCTCTGAACAGGATTTAATATCTTGAAATTGAGAAGTTTTAGAAGAAATTGAATTAAAATTCACAATATCCATTGATTTGTTCATCAAATTGTGAATTTTCAATCACGAAATTCTTTGAAATTTTAGGGCAATTGTTACTTCGTAGAGAAAAAAAACGTTTTGATTTCTAGTGAAATGGCAGTGACTTTCAGGGATTTAACCTCAATTATTAGAGATTTGCGACTGTCAAAATCAGTGAGTGCAAAACTCTGGAATTAAGTAATTTTGTCGCCATTTTTCAGTGACATAATCACTGTTTTCCACTGACACTGTCATTCATGTTTGGGAGACTATCACTAACTTTCAGAGTAAGTAGGATTTCACAGTTGTGAAGTTCAACGTGTAGAAAATTCTGGAATTCACCGACATTTTGCCACTAATTTCGAGGACTTATCTCTAATTTTCAGAAATCTATCACTAAATTTTAACGACAGATTCCTAAAAATCTGTGACATGTCCCTGGACATCAGTGATTAGTGTCTGGAAATCGAAAATAGTAATAATAATAAAAAATTGTCATCAACAATTTTTAACAGCAAAAAAATTCTTAATCCAACAATTAAATATTCTCGGGTCAGCAATACCCCATTCTTAAATGAAGAATATTTATTTTTCCGTGAATGCATCCATTCTCTTCAACCTCGCCGCGAAACTAATTTTCGCCCAACAATATGCATCATCTTGCCAGGTATCATCCAAATGAAAATGAAAAAAAAAGTATGCATCACAGTAAAACCACAAGTCGCGCCAGTAGAATTTTTCATTCTGTGCAATTTTCTTCTGAGTACATGAGAGTTGAGGAGAAAAAGCAAAAACAAAAACGTCGGAAGAGAGGAGTTTTGAGGGAAGGAAAATCGTTATTGGTTTTTGTACGAGGGGGGGAAAAACATATGACGTCCACGAAAGTGGAAAAAAGAAAAAGAGAGAAAAGTGCATGGAAGTGTGGAAAAACGTGTAATATTGGACGCGTATAAAGTCCTCCACGAGTGCATCTTACGTGTCGCATTCTTTTAGAGAAAATGAGGTGAAATATCCTTGAGAAAGTGGTAATACCGGGGTAGGTACATGTTTTTACTGGGCGAAGAGACACAATGATGGAGGAAGGGAGCATTGCAATGAATATAAGGGGAATTTCCAGACGAAAATGAAAGGGGGATTTCGCATGCTTTTGTGATGTAGTGGTTGTAAGGCAGTGATATGAGTCACGTTTGGGTCAGACATATTTCCAACATGAAATCCCTTCATGCGATCGTTCTTGGCTGACGTGCGCTGTCAAACTTTTCAATTTCAAATTTCTAAAAGCTCAAGAAATCAACATGGAGATGAAAGTTCGGTGAAAATTCTCATAGCATTCTGGGAAAGTATGTCATGAGTCATCTTCCTCATTTCTATCCTTATATTTAGTAAGAGTTTAATGTTGAGCAATTGAGGATCAATTACTCAACATTACGTTACGTGAGGATCAAATATTATTCTTCAAGAGAAATTTTGGTCCAGTGATATGAGTCATGTTTTAGTCAGAAATATTTAATGATGTTTTCTGTCAAAGTTTTCAATCTCAAATGTTTTAAAGCTCAAGAACTTTAAAATGGAGATGAAAGTTTGGTGAAAATGCTCATTAGATTCTGGGAAAGTGTATCATAAGTCATTTGTTCCTTATTTTTATATTGAAATTTAGTAAGAGTTTAATGTTGAGTAATTGAATTCGTTATGTGAGGATCAAATTTTAATCTTCGTTGGAGAAATTTTAGTCGAGTGATATGAGTCACGTTTTAGTCAGACATATTAAATGATGTTTTCTGTCAAACTTTTTAATCTTAAATGTCTAAAAGGTAAACAACTTTAATATGGAGATGAAAGTTTGGTGAAAATGCTCATAAGATTTTATGAAAGTGTATCATGAGTCATCTTCCTCATTTCTATCCTCATATTTAGTAAGAGTTTAATGTTGAGTAATTGAATTCGTTACGTGAGGATCAAATATTATTCTTCAAGAGAAATTTTGGTCCAGTGATATGAGTCATGTTTTAGTCAGAAATATTTAATGATGTTCTCTGTCAAAGTTTTCAATCTCAAATGTTTTAAAGCTCAAGAACTTTAACATGGAGATGAAAGTTTGGTGAAACTGCTCATAAGATTCTATGAAAGTGCATCGTGAGTCACCTTTTCCTCATTTCTACCCTGAATTCAGTACGAGTTTAATGTTGAGTAATTGAATTCGTTACGTGACGATCACATTTTACTCTTCGTCGAAGGAATTTTGTTCTAGTGATATGAGTCACGTTTGGGTCAGGCGTATTTATTGGCTGAAATCTCCAAGAGCTCAAAAACTCAACATGGAGATAAAACTTTGGTGAAAATTCTCCTAACATTCCACAGAAATGTGTCATGAGCCATATTCTCCTTTCTTCCATTCCGAAATTCAATAAAAATGTAATGTTGAATAATCAAAGTGGTCACGTAAAGATTAAATTTTACTCTTCGCCATAGAAATTTTGTTGCTATGATAATAACGAAAGTCATTACAACGTAATAATTGTTGTGACGCATATTGAAAATTTCAACCTTTTAGTACAGTCAGTTTCATCCAGGCGTGAAAAAATATGTATAGTTTGTAAAATTTACGCCGACAGTCGCTCTAAAAATTAACGCGTCGTACAATAAAAATCATAATACCTAGAGATTCGTTGTTCACCAACACGAGAATTACTATTGAAGGCTGAAGTTCAATGTGCGCCATGCAAAAATTGTTATGCGACAATAATTTACAGGATTATCAAAATAAAATTTCTTCAACAGATGTTTATATTTCAAAAGTCGTTTTCTGAACGCTCAAAAATTCAACGTGGAGATAAAAGTTTGGTGAAAAGCCATTCATGAGTCATTTTATCCGTTTTTTTACCCCGAAATTTGGTAAAAGTTTACCGTTGAATAATCAAAATCGGCGTGTAAAAATAAAATTTTATTTTCGTCGCGGAAATTTTTTTCTGGTAATAATGAAATTCATTGCGGTGTAATAATTCTTGCGGCGCATACAGCACGTTTTAACTTTTAGTACAGTTAATTTTATCCGGACATGAAAAATATGTCTGGTTTGTGAATTTTACGCTGACGGTCTACCTGAAAATTAACGCGCCATATAATGAAAATCACAATACCTAAAGATTTGTTGTTCATCAACGTGAGAATTTTTTTCAACGTTTTTATTAGCGATGGGCGAAATTTAATATTGGTCATGGAAAAATTATTACGCGACAATAATTTGCATGATTTTCCAAAATAAAATTTCTCCAACGGACCTTTATTTCCTAAAAGCTATTTTCGAACAGCTCAATCATTCAACATGGAGATAAAAATTTGGTGAAAAGTCTCCCAACAGTCTATAAAAGAATTTCATTCCCTATTCTATCGAAGAATTTCCTGAGGAATTCTTCAAAATTCCCGGCATAAAATTCTTAACATGACTAAATTTACAAAATAATTTACAGAAAATGCTGATAATTTTCAAAAACTGCAATCGTTTAATTATTTCATCAATCTTCCTCTACAAGTAAACATTCTAATTTTTTATCCGATTTTTCAAATGTTCTCTAACGTTTCATTGTGTAGTTGTCCGGAATCTTGAGGTCAAATTGGGCTCAAATGAAAGTTCTGACATTCGAATACAAAAGTACAAGAGCATTTCACTGAAGAGTAAATAGCCAAAGTGCCTGGATATCCTCCATAGAAGAATGTCTTTTATCGTAGAATATTTTCCTTCACATCATCAGGACAAAATTTCTCCGACGGCTCTTCACCGATCGAATTTTATTTTTCGACATATCAATGTTTACTAAATTCTGGGACAAAAATCACAATAATTTTCACCAAATTCCTCTCATTTCGCCTAAATCTCCGACACGAAAGAAACACAAACAGCAGTGCTCCGAGAATATCTCCAGAAATGAATTCCCCCAATTTTTCTCCTAAAGAAGAATGAGTGAATACATGAAATGAGCATAACTTACGTGAACCTTGTGCTCGGGGGTGGCGGGCGGATTCGGGGTATTTGGCAAGGAACCCCCGGGTGGGGTGCAGTGCCGCAGCCGCGCCAGTGCTGTGCGAAAGCCCTCCGTCACGAAAACTTCTCTAACTCAACCCCTGCGGTCCTCGCCGAATCTCCAACGACTGTCTTTTATTCCACTGCGTAAAACGGCAACGCCCAATCTCATCCACGTGTTGTCGTATGTATCTACTCTCATCAGATAGGAGTCAACTGTCATCCCGCGTTCTACTCCTCTGCCACACGGGTGATCATTGATAATCTGCATTAATTTGACAGTTGGGGGAGTTTATTTTTCAGAATTCTCTCGGCTCTGTGTTCCCTGCGTTGGATTTTTTTTATTTTGATGATCGGGGAGGTTATTTCGCTTGGTTTCTTGTCTCAGAGCATCTGAAAGCGGAAAATTAAAGGGTTTAGACGTCACGTAGAAGAGTTTTCGGGAAAATTAAAAAGTTTTGATTTTCGGGGACATGTCATTAATTTTCTAGGATCCACGCCTAATGTTTAGGAATTCATCACCTTTTTTTGTGATTTTGTCAATCTTTAGTGATGTTAGCAGTAATTTCCGAGGAAATATTACTGATTTTCAGGAACCTGTCTCCCATTTTTAAGAATCTACCACTAAATCTCAGTGATAGAAACCGCGTGTGGTCAGGGTTATTCCAGTTTGTATTTAGTATCGCCAATAAGATGTGATAGATTCGCAAAATTCAGTGATATTTCCCTAGTGATCAACCATATGTTCCTGAAAATCAGTGAGATCTGCCTGAAAATTAAAAAAAAAATCTTTCCCCGCGCGCATTACATTCACAGAGATCAAAAAGTTCAGATGTTCCGGGGCATGTCACTAATTTTTAGTCTGTCGTAAATTTTTAACAATTTACCTTTGTGAAATTCAACAAGTACGAAATTTTTGAATTCATGGTTTTGTCACTGATTTCCATGAATCCATTTCTAATTTGTAGGAATCACTGATGATCAGGGTCATTCTAGTCAGCGTTCAATATCACCGACAATTGTTGACAAATTCTTAATCAGTGACATGTTCCTAAAAATAAAAAAATCCTTCTCTGCACCGGTTTGATCAGAGTTTTACAAAAATTTATGGCTCAATTTGGATAGTAATTTTGTTCATCCGAGGAAACATTGAGAATGTTTTCAGACAAGTCAATTACAGTAGATGTAAGAACAGTAAATTGAGATCCTCAAATTACCACGAATGATGGAACTAGTCGGAGTGCTCGCTACATAATCGATCCGGCAACACTGTGCCGATGCCCGACAATCGAAAGTAGGACAGAAATATATGTTAACACATGTTTACGAGTTATTTTGATTGGACTTCAGTATCTCTCCAGAATTTACAGCCCTTCTCGCTTCATCTCTCGTTTCTTCGTTGTTAAAGAGGGGAGAATGAGTGGACGAGAAAAAATCCCTCACTCAGCCCTTATTTTTCAAATTTTTTTTCGGCATTCTTTGTATTGTTGGAAGACTGAATAGAGATAATTTACCAGAGTACTGGAATATAAAAAGTGAAGGGGAGAAAAACGAGAGAGAGCAAGCTGAATAAATCCCCGTTATATACCAACACAGAGAAAATTGGATTAAATTAATTACTTTAAAGGCAAATTGCTTTCTTACCCAGCGGACCCTTTATACTTTTTTCCAACGCTTTACGAGAGAATTAAAATCTCCACTCGTAAATATGCATCATCACTTTATTATTTCGTAAATTGTTTTTAAAACAGATTCTCCAATGACAAGAGAGATGATCATTTCTATCGGAATTAATTACTAGATTTTTTTTAATTATTCAACTCTCAGTATTTTTTTCTTCCCATTCTTGTTATTTATTATTTGTTTTAACTGAAATACCTAGCGGATTTGATGGGAAATTCTGTTAGTTTCTGACCAATTTTATTGAATAATTCCACAGCTTCACTGGGTTTTTTTTAATAGGAAATTTCCAATACTATTTCACAGAAAAACAACAGGCAAATTGCTCTTGCATTGCATATTTAGTGTAATTATTTTGCTAATAAATTAGCAATATACTTCCGAACGGTTATTTTGCACGTCATTTCGTTTTATCATGTATAATTCATTGTTCACTTTATTTTATTAAATTGAATAAGATTTCTTTTTAACTAATTTTGGCAGATTTCGAACTCAATTGAATGTTATCATCATCATTATTCTTCTTATTATCCCTTTCTTCAATACAACTCATGCAAACAATTTTTTTAAGCCATCATACAATCAATTCAGAACGTTTTTTTTAGCTATCGTGGGACAACCGATTTTTTAAGAAATTCGAAAATTAAAAAAGAAATTATCGATGAATTGAATTTTAATTAATGGCGATTGATAGGGCTCAATAATACCTACATTTGAAAAAAAAAGATTCAATTCCATCCATTCATTAGCGAACACTTGAAGAAAACTGGGTCGTAATACGAAAAATCCAAAACTCAAATTTGAACGATTACAAAGCTTCCATTCCAAAGCAAAAATCAGTAGCATTTCATCCTTCTACTTTTGTTCTCTTTAAAAAAAAAGTTGAACAAAAAAATGGAAAATTTGAGCCGAGGATTTTCTATAAAAAAATATCAATAGAATAAGTGGAGTAGAAAAATCGATTTCGATTGATATTTTCCCCTCAAAATTTTTATTTTAAAAAAATTGACAGATAATTTGACGATTTATTCGGTAGAATCGGCTAAATGATAGTAGAAAGTTCAGTAGAAATCAGTAGAATCTCCTAACGAATTCACTAGATTTTTCTACAAAATAATTCCTATAAAATAATAATTAATGTTCTCGAATGTGGTGGAAAGAAATGAATGAATTGTGGTGGAAATGCATTTCATTAATAAACGTTGTGTCACGTCTGCACTATTTTAAACCTCAACCACGTCCGATAGCAGCGGACGTATACAAAAAGGGTCTTGAATAGGTTCGCATGATACACGAAAGCTAGCCACACAGTGTTTCATATTTCTCATCCACCGGCGATTCTCAAACGTGTGTTTTGTTAACACCGTAACGTGCACGCGACTAAACGATCAATTAGACTGCACGAGAGCCTTTTCTCGATAGCACGAGCTTTTTCGTAGTCATGGCGCCTGCAGCCGAGGGAAATATTAATACTCATAAGAATTCGCGGAATTACATGAGTCTGGCGTATTCCCGAAGAATATTGGCCTGAAAAGTTGTATCGTGTCCGTAACTTTTGCGAATTTAGGGGATGAAAAACTGCGGAACTTGAATGTGGGGCATATCACTGGGAAATAACGAATGAGAAACAGTTGGAGGTTCAAAGGATACACGCGGGTCGATAACCCCTCGACTCCACACGACCTTATTTCGATACGTTGCTCGGTTGTACGTGCATTCCTTTGTAAACTGGAGGAGCAATATTCTTGTCGCGGAAAACCACAAATATTTGGAATTTCATGAGCTATGTGGCATGCCAATGATGGGTAATTTCACTTTTAAGTTGAGGTCAGAATTTTTCTCCCGTAACTATTTTTGATATTAAGAATTATTTTCTCGTAAACTATTGGAATTTGGGAGGAAATAAATTCTTTTTGAAATAATTTCCCTTCTATGGCAGAAACTAGATCTTGAACTATGAGTTTGTATCCTAAAATGGCAGATGAAATTTTCCTCAATATTGGTCCTAGTTTTCTAGTAGAATTATTTCTTAAACAAATTTGAATATAACGGTATTTGAACAAACGGTATTTTATTGTTCGTAACTTATCTGTGAAATGAATGAAGGAATCTTGAGAAAAACTAATTTACCAATTTATTTCTAAATTTTCCTTTACAAAAAGTAGACTTTCTGATTTTTTGCTGCCGAATGGAAGCATTGTATTCATCAAATCCGAAATTTCCAATTCTTCCCAATGCCATGTTCACTGAGTTCGATCATGAGATTGATTGCATCATCTGTTGTTGAATAAATTTATTTTGAAACCAATGTTCAGGGAAATATACCAAATTTTAACGTTGCAGAGATGCTGGCTGCACTATTAAAAATATTCTACTGTAATTTCCGGTAAGAGTCTTGAAAATTTCAAACAAATAACATTTCGACTGAAATTTCATGACATTTTGTGATAGAAAATTCATGATTCTATGGAAAAATCCGTGGAAACTGTAAATTTCAGGTTAAGTATTCCGCAAAAATTATTGAAAAAATAAAAAATTCAAAGAAAAAAAAATTGTCTCCTTGAATTCTAGATGCCCCGAGATTTTCATGATATTCCTTCAAAAATTCCTGAGATTCCAAGAATTTGAAAGGGATTCCATGAAAATTCTAGGGAATTTGATAGTGGAGATTGATTTTCACTCGAAAATTCACGTAAATTGTGGAATTTTCGTCCACTTGCCGCTAAAAAATTGTGACTTTACTTAAATTTTCAGAGAGACTTCAAATTCAATAGACTTTCTCTCCAGAAATCGCATTCAAGGTCTTTTTCTGGAAACTTGAAAAAATCATCTGTTGTTGAATAAATTTATTTAGAAACCAATATTCAGGAAAGTTTCAAAAATATTAATATTGGGGCAATATTGGCTGCCACCGCTGGGTCAATGTTGAATTCAATGAATCATTGAATTCAATTTAACCTACATCGTCATAGAAATTCCCCCCGGCAACAAATTGCCAATTTATCACCAAAAATATATTGACAATGTTGTGAAAAAGTAATTTCCCACTTGGTTCCACATCATCTAATGTTACTTTCGGTCCCGGCGGGCGCAAAGTTAGATTTCCTTCCCGCTTCGCGGGAGGGAACTCTGACTTTGCGCCTACGCCGAGACGGAAAATCGCGTTCTAACCACGGGAAGTAAAATAAAGGACCCTCAGCCGCGTGCTTACCAACCTCGCCTTCGGCTCGGCTGGTAATTGCACTAGCGGCTGAGGATCCTTTATTTTCCCTCCCTAGGGTAGAAATATACTATTCCGATAAATAACGTGAAATAACAAATCCGTAATTCAGTAAATAGC